TGGCCGCCAATGACGCAGACAAAACCGAGCGCCCAGACATGGATCGTATCGGCTTGGTCGGCGGGAAGGGTCACCGGCTCAGTGCAGTCTTCGAGCTTCCATTTTTGATCGGCTTGCTGCTCTGCGAGACCTCGGAGGTTGGCCTCGGATGCAACGGGCACGACACGTCGCTGGGACGACTGGTGGTGCAGCATTTGCTCGGCGATTGCAATACTGCACATGCTCGCGATGACGCATCTCAAATTAGCCCAACGCCACACAACGGCTATGTTGAGTTTCGCCGCTCGACGCGCAAGTGACATCTCCGGCGACGCGCGGAAACTGGGTGCAAATCTGGTGGGTGGTGCTTCAGTGAGAGAGTGGTGTGCGCCGAGAAGCCAAGCAAAATGGTTTGTGGCTTGAAGCTGCATCGCTTTTCGAGTCCCGCTGGAAGGTCGCCATCCAGGTTTGGCTTTGTTAGACGTTTGGGCGGGTTGAGCCCCACCGTACTACCGGTATCTGTGCAGTTGCGTGTATGCTGACGCAAGGTAGCACTAAGCTACGAGGCTGCTCACCATAGAGCCTGCTACTTCCTCTTTCATTTACAAGAGTACCACCGTTGACAAACCACGCCGGTGATAACGCATGGTACAGTCGAGACGGTTCAAGCCAATCGCGATATTCACACGGAGCTCGTAAGGCACTATTTTAAGCGAGCGCCCTGCAGTCTGCTCATGATGCAAGCACGTCCTTCTTATGTTCCCAGGTGCGTCGAGCTCGACGGCAGTAGCTTGCAGCCGGCAAGTATGCCCTTGGCATCGTTGGCACGGTACTAGACACTGCTATCCCTGGCACTTGAATGAATGATTGCGCTAACGGCAATCTACTAGTACTATTGTACGCAAAGAGCAGCAGTCGCACGAGTGAGCAACCCGTGCCACTTGTACCGGCAACACCCCACTTGGGGGCGATCGTCAGCAGTGAAATCCACCGAGTTCCTTTCATTCGTCCCACAAGTATTCCAACCGCGCTGGCATTCTCACACGAAACGTTGACACCCCATCCCGCGCTAGCGCCTCGAACGGCTCGCTCAAGAGCACAATGGCCAGAGCTGTTCGTCGTATCGGTATTGCAAGCAGCCCTCTAAGCCCTCTAAGCCCTCTAAGCCCTCTAAGCATTCCTCTTGGCTCTTGAGCGAACGATGCCCGCCGACGCATGTGCAAATGATGATGGGGTCCTGAATCCAAAGTCGTCCAACCGAAGAAACGCTTCTTTCGAAGCGCCGACTGCAGTTTCTCTGGTGCTGACGCAACTACTTGCTATTGTTTCTTCGGTTATCAAGGACATGGCAAGCGTCCAACGACCGGAGCGTTACCGAATTTACGTTGCCTACTTGCCCGTCCCATGGCATCGCGTCCCTGCTGCCACGTCATCGTATCATCCAAATCAGGATTTGGTTTGCGGTAAATCCATAAATCCATAAATCCATAAATCCATAAATCAATACTAGCCTTTGTGATATCTTTGACTCTCGCAACAAGTGTGACTGGGATCTATCCTACCCCAAGCTCTGCGCGTCTGCACTCTGAGCGTTGACGGTGGCCCAGCAACCAAACACTGCGACGCCCTCGGCCATGCCTCGACCTACGTCCCGCGGACCTCGACTGCATACAAAGACGTGTGAACAAGAATGCACTGTCGTATTGGCAATCGTACAAGTCGGGCTCCTCGTCGCGCGACAACACAGCTTTAATGGTACCCCGAGACCTCCTGGAAGTGGCCGCCCTTGTTGAACTTGAAGAGGAACGAGAAGGCTTCCTTCTCCAACTTGGTCGGCTCGACACCGAGCTCGCGCAAGCCAGGAAGCGACCCGGTCTTGACCTGGTCCATGGCCATGCGGATCGCCAAGTCGTGCGTAAACTTGGGGTCCGGGAAGAGCTGCGCGACCTTGCCGACGACTTCGGCGAGCGGCAGCGGCAGGTTGAGGAGGTTCGGGTCTTCCTTTGTCACGTCGACAATGTAGTCGACAATCTCCTTGGCCGAGTACTCTTCGTCACCGTAGAGCTCAAACGTCTCGCCCTCAATGCTCTTGTCGACGCAGAGCGCGTACAAGGCCTGGGCCGCGTCCGTGACGTTCACGGGCTGGAGGCGCGCGGCGCCGTTGTCGATGAGCGGGATGCCGCCCGTCGACATGCGGTTCGCATACCAGTTCAAAAACTTGTCTTCCGAGCCGTACATGATGGCCGAGCGCACAATGTTGGCCTTCGGGAACGCCTTGCGCACGGCGACTTCGCCGCGGTACTTGGAGGCCGCCCACATCGACGCCGAGTTGGGCTTGGCGAGCGTGCTCGAAAAGTGAATCAGACGGGGCACGCCCATCTCGGCGCACACCTCAGCAATGTCACGCGCCGCGTCGACATGCACGTCGTCGTACGTGTAGTTGATCCACCACGGCACGATGTGCTTTGTCTCGTAGTGCTTGCCAATCAAGTTGATGACAATGTCCGAGCCCTCGACGCACTCGCGGAGCGAGTCCTTGTCGCGGACGCTAAACGGCACCTGCGCGATCGAGCCAAGGTCGCCCATGAGCTTGAGGTGGCGGGCCTCGAGGTCGTCGCCGCGGTACGGCGTGACCACGGTGCAGCCCGTCTTGCCTAATTCGCAGCAGCACATTGAGCCGCCATGCGCTCGCCGCCGATGGACGTACCGAGCTGCGCCACGACGTAGCGGCCGAGGAAGCCCGTGGCGCCGAAGACGGTGGCCGTGAGGTTCGTCCCGGCGACGCGGCCCGGAGGGTTCTTCAAGATGGCCCGCGCGACAGGAGTAAGGGACGACATGACTGCGGTCGATTTCGCGAAGTTGCGCCTTACAGAGCCGGCCAAAATACCGCTTTTTGACCAATCACCGCGCTCCAGCGTTGTTGGCCACAAACACCGCCGTCGAAAAGGCCTCTTATAATTGATATATGCTGACATTCGATGCGTTCCGATCGAATAAATATGCATTGTGAGAGGTCAATCCATGGAAGGATTATTCCACGCCACTTGTAGGACAAAAGCAAGGGCCTCAAAGCCTTTTTCCCATATAAAATTGGGTGGATTTAGTTGCAGGATAACGTCGGGTTGCCGTCGACGGCAACAGCAACGAACACGGCCGATGCGGCAACGACGCAGCCATGCAGGCGGCTCTTGGCGTAAAGCGGCGAGGCCACTGCTAGGAACACCCGAGCAAGAAGCGATTTGCGTTGCATGCCCTCCGCAAATGCATGGATGAATGCGTCTATCAAGCTTGGAGGACTGGTATCCTCGGATGGTCCTGTCGATTTTTGCCCATCCACATCTCGGATTGTCATCACGCTTGGCAGAGCCCTCCTGCGCGTGGCCCATGACGTGGGGCTGTTTGGTTTGCTGTTTATTTGATGGGTGCACTCGAATAAAAAATGACAAATTGTCATACAAAAACGAGGTACAAATAAAAAGTAATAATATTATATCTTGCCCACGTATTACGGCGTCTCGTGTATTGTCGGAATCCATCGCGGCCCGACGCGCAGCGACCATAAGCAGCCAGAGCCCGGACCTGCGGCAGCGCGGGATCGCTTCGCCTTCCGTCCACGACGAGACCGCGGTAGAGATCGACATCCATCCGACCGAGAACCAGCAGCTCCTGCGCAACCGCTTGACGATGGCGTCGCTTTTGCCCAGCAAGTCGTCAGCGGACAGCATTGCCTACTCGTCACTGGGCATGGACGAAATGGCGTCCAAGACGCCGACAACAGCGCCGCTGCCCAAGACGCCGTCGCAGCGCAACGTGCTACCGCCGGCGCACGGCGTCTCGCTCGCGGACCTCCTCACGCATGTGACGCGGCCCATGGAGCGGGTCGCATTCGAGGTGAAAGGCGCGCTCCTCGCAACCGGGTTTGCATCGACGTGCTATTTATTGAACTGGTTCAAGGTCGTGCTCATCCCGTTCTTCCTCGCGATCTTCCTCATGTACCTCGTGGACCCGCTCGTCGAAATGATCGACGTGTCGCCCAAGTACTTTTGCTGCGTGTGCACCTCGCGCGGTAGGCGACAGCGACGCTGGCGATCAAACTCTCCTTCTCATGGTCTTTATGTAGGTCGTCATGCCCGGCGACGCTCGCGCGGCTGCTCGCGCGCCTTCTCGTCGCTCTGCGCGGTCTCGGTCGTCTGTCTCTTCTTCTTCCTCCTCGGCTACATTGCTGTGCTGTCGATCCACGCGCTCGAAGTCACTAAGTACCAGGAAGGCTACACGGCCTTTGTCCAGCACGTCGAAGTACTCTCGCAGCAAGTCGGGGTGCCCATGAACATTACGACGACCTTGCACGACAACGTCGACAAGCTCGCGCGTCTCGTGCTCACCGAAGTCATGGACCTCCTCTCGACTTTGTTTGTGACGATGATCTACCTCACGTACTTTCTCTGCACGCGCACGCGCGCGTCCGACGCCGGTACGCACGGTCGCAGACAACTTGTCTGAGGAGTCGAGTAGGCGGCGTGTGGTCCAAGATCGACAATGACATCCAGCGCTTTGTGACGCTCAAGTGCTACCTCTCGCTCTTTGTCGCGCTCCTCGTGACGATCGTCTATGTCTCGCTCAACGTCGGCCTCGCCATTTTCTGGGGCATTCTCACGTTCATTCTCAACTGGATCCCGAACGTTGGCGCGATGATTGCGTCGTTCCTGCCGCTGTGCATCATCATGATCTCGCCGGAAGGACCGAACGGCCTCATGTCGCCCATGGACAAGTTCCTCGCGATGGTCCTCCCCATGTGCTTTCACATGTTTGTCGGCAACTTTATCGAACCCAAAGTGTTTGGCCGGAAGCTCGAGATGGACCCGGTCGTCGTCATCATCTCGCTCTCGGCGTGGGGGCTTCTCTGGGGCGTCGTCGGTACGAGCATCCCGTGCTAGGATATACGATCTGAGATATCTAGGCATGATGCTCTCGGTGCCGCTGACCGCGGCGTTCAAGATCATGTGCTCGCACCTCAAGCTCTGGCCCGAACTCGTTGCGCTCATGGACGGCACGTACTTTGTGCGAAGCGCCGAGCAAAAGAAGAAGGAAGAGAAGACGTACAAGGCCCGTGAATTTACCGGCGACGACGACCACGACCAAGTCATGTGATGGCTGCTTGGAAATAGTCGTAGAAGGAATACATACGTGTACATACTAGTCGCGGTTTGCTGTCGCCAGCCCTACAACAAACAATATTTGCCCACTGGATCTGTTGCGGAAGATGGACCACATGACGCCCAATCGCACGACCTGCAGCCGAGAACTCAGGAATTGCTGCTAGTTGAATACTAGTTGATAGATAGATAGATAGATAGGACGTGTATTGGCGTTATGATGCTCACAAGAGATTTCATTGTGCGGCGCAGACTACAACAAGCAAAGGTTGCAATCTTCAGTAGCGTTCGAGGTCCTGGCGATCGTCGTCGTCGTCGTCGCGGTCAAAGGAGAGAAGGAGCAAGTCGGACGTGTCGTCGTCTGGGAAGGATGACGTGCGTGGTGGTCGCCACGAAGGCGACGCGAGGCGACCGTACAGTTGATGCGGTCGGCGAATGTAGCGCACGAGGACGGCGAGGAGGAAGCTCGTCATGGAGAAGCAGACGAACGCAACCGTCATGATCTCGACACGCAACGGCACGTTCGGACTGTGTGCGGTCGTCCGCGGTGGCCGCGTCGCGTGGCCGTTGGGCGTCCTTTCTGCAACGTACGCAGATGGCATCTCATTGGCCTTGGACGGCGGGTACGCATAGAACGTCTGCTCGATGCTCTGGCGTTGCACGAGCCGTTGTGCCTATTTCGGCTCCTAACGTACGTTCAAATAGCGTTCGTACATGGGACGTGTCGGTGAATGGCACCCAGTACAGCTGCCGGCACGCGCTGGCGTCGCGGAGCTGAGATGAAGTGTTGAGGCCCAAGAAGGTGTCCAAGTAGGCATGTGTCGGTCGTGCACCGGGCTTGGTTGCCTCGGGCTCGGGCGTTGCGATTGGTCGTTGGTTGTCGTCGTTGTACGTGTCGTTGACGTCGTACTCCAAGATCTTGCTCGGCGCCGAGTAAAAGTCGTACCCGCGAGCCCAGAGGGCGGCGCTGCGCGCAAGAACGTCGCCCGACGTTGCAGCGTGACGCGCGTGGCATTTACCAAAGGCGAACGCTACGCCGCTCGGCATACGATCCAGTGAATCAAATACGAGGTGGGTACCAGTTGTCGGGGCTAAAAAGGGGGCGAGTAGCGGTCGGGTGTGGTCATGCACAAGCGACGGAAGCGCCGACGTGCGCCATGGCTTCAACGGCGCCGATCGTTCGAGGACACATGCATGCGGGAAGCTCCCGGGATACCAAAAGATCGCTGGCGCCGCGATCGAGGTTACGATGGCGAATTCGTTCTCGGTGCGAAGCCAGTCTTGGAGCACGGTGTTGTCCCATGACGTGGCGAGCTGAGCGCTCGATGGCGCCGTCGCACAGAAATCTGGTAGGCGTGAGATGACCATGGTGCGAGATAGACGTGCTACCATGCGTCCCATGTTGACTTGACGCCGGCGTGGCCACTGCAACGAGCTGGGCTTCGTAGGGACAGTTTACGGGTTGCATCGATGCAGCGAATCCTTCCTGCGCAGCAAGTGCGCAGTACGCAAGGCGACATCGCTGGCTCCGCGATGGAGCGTGACCATGGACGAGGTAGACAAACACGCGATCCGGATTCGAAGCTTCTTGGAACGCAGAGAAAACGGTGCGACCACAGCGCTCGGCGTCGTCGCTCGCGGCAAGCGTGAGCTCGATGGTCGGGGCGCGGTGGCGCGGCAGCAGCGGCCGTGGCGGTGGGAGTGCACCTCGAACGTTCTGCAGCTCCGGACGCAACGGAATGTCGACCTGGTTCATGTCGTCCCAGAGCATAGCTCCGTAAACGAGGCGGAGCCCGAGCAGGACCAGCGCAGAGTTCAGTGGCGCCATGCCATGCGACGGCCTTTCCAAAATGGTTGAAGCTTCGATCTTATCCGGTTATCTTATCCGGATGTAGCGTTTGGCGTTCGGCGTTCGGCGTGCATTGTTTAAACCTGCTTGGTCATCCATGTGGGTTAAACCCATGGAGCCGCCTTGGCAGCCGATGCATGGACGTGTCCTCATGGCATCTACTTGTACTTGTGCACAACGAGGTATATTCCTTTTTACCCTTGCACTGCTCTTGAACAGTACCCTTCTTGCTGGAATGCAGCTCGTGTTGATGCGCCAATGTTGAACCCAAGATGCAGCTGACACGTCACCTTGGTGTAATGGACGCTATAGGAGCCGACCTCGTAGCGTTGATAACGTGGTGTATACGCATCGCTTCGTGCACGCTCAGCCATTGCGCACTATGTCACCGACCTGCGCTTGAATATAGCGACCAGATGCGATAGCTTTAACGCAAGTGCAAACACGTTTAAACGCATTCGCGGTAAACCCAGAAGAATGGCGCAGCGGACGACGACCCGCGGCTTTTGCACGGCGGGCATCCACTTTGACACGTACCGCTTCGCGCAAAACCTGCGCGGAAAAGGCATATCTATCAATCTATCAGTCTATCAAGCTTAGCGTCGCGGTAGGCTTTACGCCCAAGGAGGCCGAGGTCATCTTGGCCGCGACGCGCAATGCGATCCAGGAAATGAACACGTCCCGCGCGTCCTTGGTGCGTCGCGCCGCCTCCGTCTCGCTGGCTTAGGCGTGTGTGTGCCTAGTACATTCCCAAGGCGGACCACCTCGAGCTCAAGACCGACTTGTCCCAGCGTGTGCTGCGCTCGACCATGAACTTTGGTACGGCGTCGTGGCACATGTCGTCTAATGGACTTGATGTAGATGTGGCCCACCGCCACATGCGCGAAGTGCTCGAACGTGACTTTAGCAACCTCAAGAACGACATTCGCATGACCGAGAAGCTCGACTTTGACAAGGTGCGGTTCGAGCTCCTCAAGGTGGAGAAGGAGGTATAAATGCTTGCGATGGGACTATTCTGACTTGCGCCATGTAGTTTTTACTTCAGAAAAAGACGGACGAAGAGACGCTCAATACGCTGCACATTGCCAACGAGCGGCTCGAGAAGCGCATTCTGCAGTTCGTGGTCGGTTTCTCGGGCTCGATGATGCTTGTGCTCGCGCGTCTCGGCGCCTTCTTTTAACGCAGACCCTCCCGAGCTTTATGCCGACGTATTTGTTGTAGAAAGGAGATAGTAACATACAAGGGGAAGTCCAAAAAGGGGAAATTTTGTTGCGCTCAGGAGGCCCACCGGGATGTGAAGCGAGGAGCGTATAGGGCCCGGTTGCGGAATTGTGTGACGAGCAATGTACTCTAAGCGTCGAGCGACGAGCGAGTAGGCAGACGTGCTGGCGGACGAACACGATTAGAGATTTACAAGCTCTGCACAGGGCTGAGCCAACTGGCAAGAATACAACACGAGCTAAGCAGCGCAAAAACATGCAAGATAGGTGGAAAGGACGCCTCTAATGAGAACCACTCTGCTCGATGCACTCTACAGTTCACACTGTCTGTACGCATCGCGTATTGCAGCGCAAAGAACCCTGTGCAAGAACGCGCGGTGGTCGCATGGAACGCACTAATGGGGCCGGAAAGGTCTTTGGACACGCGGCGCTCCCCGACTCTGGCGCCTGCATCGCTCTGTGGTCGACCGAACCGAATGTGGATATAGATATATTCTGTTTCCAGTCGTTAGTACGCAGACGACTATCGCCACGACGCCACGATCGTCGAGGCGTTCGAGTCGCAGCTACAGAGCGGTGCAGGCTCGTGAATGTGTCCGTCGTCGTTGTCATTATCGTCGTCGTCGGAGGTATCGAGGTCGTGGTGGGACTTGGACGACGCTTTGAGCGACACCATGAAGCTGCCGCTGTGCGCGTGGTTCTCGATCGTGCTGGAGCAGGGCGTGACGGCCGAGTTCACGTCAAGCTCGTCGGGCAGTCCGAGGAGCGAGGCGCGCGAGTACTTGCCGAGGTTGAGCGACGCCAGTGAGAAGGCCAAGCACGTAAAGCTCATGGCGCGGTCGGTTTAGAAATGACACTGCGCCCCGCCTTTCTCGGTGCCGTCCACTGTGATTGGCCAATATTCTGCGTCCAGGTGGTTTCGCCACGAGACAGGGCAAGGTCCGAATTTCAGCCCTCAAAGAAGGGCGCCAGCCCCACGTTGAAGTTGCACTTGCGACGCGGCTCTGCAACGCCAGAAGGCAGACGCGGAACGCTCTAGAAGACACAAAATTCTCGGCTTCTGCCATCCTGTCCATGCAATTATACAGGGGTGAATGTTGTATCCCAGTGTCCATATATCTCATGTTCACGAGGAGTATTTTTGTCCGAGGGTCGTGGGCGACCAACTAAAGAGACAGCTAGAATGCTGTCGCGCGACCAACATTTTGCTTGCCACGTCATCGCGCTTGCTTGCACGAATTAATATTCAGCACCGAGCTTTCAGAGTGTGTCTGAACAAGGAACGTCCGTCGCCATTGCTTGCCCCGACACGCCCTCGCAACCACGGACCATCTTCGTCGCGCGATGTCGCGACACGGCCAGTACTAGTAGCCAACTTCATGCAACACCTTGGCCACACAGCCGCAACCACACGTCCTTATCCTGTAGCTGCACGTACAGACTCGGCGGCATGCCCTCCAGGTGTAAGCGTCACATGATGATGCTAAGATGGTGCGGTAGCGCCATCAAGTGCTCTCCGTAGAGAGGTAAATGCTTGGAAATGAGGTGAACGGTGTCGCGTTTGTCAACAGGATGGGCTGCCCGCGACTCGTACGACATCCTCCTTTGTACATGGACGGCCTCTACATCTGTGTACACAAGACAATTTTTCCACCTTTGGTGCCCAAGCGGCACGACGAGAAAAATGGCGCGAAACGAATGTTGCACCGGTCGCGCGGGTGATGGCCATGTGTGGAACTGATTTTCGCACGTGTAAAACCAATTTTCACGCGTGAACAACGCGATTGCATTTCGAAATCGACAAATTTGCCGCGATGCTGCGTGGACGGTTGCGGCAACTGGCACGGGCAGCGCCAGCCGACAACGCGCTGCTGGACATGGAAGCCATGGACACGACCGAAGACGACGCGCTCGATGCGATGGCGGTAGGTTGAGAAGACGCACGCATGGCGCACGATGGCTGTAGAGCGACGTGATGGACGACACGTTGGCGGCGATTCATATGCTGCTTGGCCGGTATCACCGGGCGTACGCGACCTTCCCGCTGCCGTCGCTCGTTCTCGCCCACCACATGTAGCTGCTGCCGACGCGCTTTCATCTCACTTGGCGCCTCGTAGCTACAGCGTTCTGCCCAACCGAACGGTTGTCGACCAACGCGTACGTGCTGGTATCGTGTCCTCTGTGTATCCGTGTGCATAGGTGCATGAGCTGCGACTGGATGGCACGCTGCTCTTGCTGCAAGTCAACCTACCAGGTGCAGTGCTTCAGCTACGACGACGATGCATGAGGCATCGGTTAGGACCCAACGTGCACGCGCTTGTGTTGACGCACGACTACTCTGCCTTTCTTCTCGACCTGTCGAGAGGTAGCCGCGGCGCCCGCATGTTTGCCAAGATCCTACCGCGTCTCTCAACGGTCTCTCAGTCCCTGGACTTTGATCGACGAGTTCCTCATGCTGCGGTGTAGCGCTCGACGCTCGCCAAAAGCACGCTCTACGACGAGATGCGAGCGCAGTTTACGCGGCGAGGGCGACCGCCGCCACCAGACACGGCGCTGGACAAGGACATTGCGTACACACAAGGTCGAAGTGGCGGCCTCATTCAGCGTTAGGCACCTTGTCCACCTCGGGTTTCTCGTGGCCACGGTCGAGATGGCTGTCGATCGGTATTACTTTTCACTTCCGCGCCTCGGGGCGCTCGTTTCGGCGCTGCATGCCGGTCGACGCACGATCCGCATGCTTCTGCAGGTATGTATCAAGCTGCCACAACGATGGTTGAAAGTGGTTTTGGGTAGCGAGCACCGTACCGAGAGATGACCGAGCACGACGTCCTCAAGCGCAAGGTCAAGTCGTCGCCCTTTGGCATGAGCTATCATATTCTCGAGATGGCGCACGCAGGCCTCCTCGCCCGCGTGCCCACCGCGACGTCGTTTCTGCTCAAGTACACGGACCCGGCGGACGGACAAGCATGAGGACTGCGATTCGTTCATGGGTCAAGCCCTTGAGAGCAGCGACATTATCGACGTGCTTGGGCATGTACAAAAAGCAATTTTTTGATTTCAACTTGGTTTACAGCGCGCTCTCCTTGGGCTTGAGCGTCGGCGGCTTCCGCGCCGTGCCGTGCGTGAGCGTCACGACGTCCTTGATCTTGCCCCACTCGGGCATCGTCACGAGCTCTTCCGACGCCGTCGGGTGGATCGCCACAATGTTGTCAAAGTCTGATTTGTACGCGCCCATCTTGACGGCGACGCCAAAGCCCTGGATCATTTCGTCGGCGCCGAGGCCCGCGACGTGGACGCCGATGACAGTCTCTTCTTCGCCGATGCACATGAGCTTCATGGCCGTCTTTTGCTTCTCGTCTTGCTCGCTCATGGCGTAAAACATGTTGAAGAACGTGCTCGTGTACACCTTGACGTTGTGCGCACCGTACTGCTCAATGGCCTGCGGCTCGGTCAAGCCAATCGTACCAATCGGTGGGTGGCTAAAGACGACCGTCGGGATCTGGTGGTAGTTGACACATGCGTTGGGCTCGTTGCCGAATAGACGGTCCGCAAGGCGGCGACCCGCCGCAATCGCCACTGGCGTCAGCTCCCACCCGGTCGTCGTCACGTCGCCGACCGCATGCACATTCGGGACGGTCGTGTTTTCTTGGGCGTCGACTTGAATAAACTGATCTGGCGAAAGTGCAATGTCGGTCGTCTCCAGACCCAAGTCGTGCGTCCGCGGTGTGCGACCAATCGCAAAGAGGACCGTCTCAAAGCCCGCGAACGACTGCGCCACGCCGGCCACCGTCGCTTGGATCGTCAACGTCCCGTCCTCCGCCTTCTCAATCGACGTGATGCCGCTCTCCCGCACAAAGCGGACGCCGGCACTATCCATTCATCATCATGAGCACGTTGCAATATCGATAAGGATATCGTACTGCTCCATCTCGGTGTTGACGAGGTCGCGCACGATCGGGTCAAAGGTGCGCAGAACTTGGTTGCCGCGGCAAAAGACCGTCGTGTCCGACTTGAGCGCGTTAAAGATGCCGGCGAGCTCGACCGCAATGTAGCCGGCGCCGACGACCGCGACCTTGCGGGGCTGCGTCTCGAGCGCAAAGAAGCCGTCGCTCGAGATCGCGTGTTCGATGCCGGGAAGCGGTGGCATGGCCGGGACACCGCCGACGGCAATGAGGATGTGCTTGGCCGTGTAGCGGTCGCCGTTGACTTCGATTGTGTGGTTGTCGACAAACTTGGCGGCGCCGTAGATCAGCGGGATCTTGTTGTTGCCGAGGTTTCGCTCGTAGATGCCGTTGAGACGCGCCACGTACGCGTCACGCTTCTTCTTGAGCGCCGCCCAGTCAAACGAGCCGTACTCGACGTCCTGGATGTTCTTGAACGTGTACGCGTGCGCCGAGTGGAGCATCTCGGCGTGCATGGCCGCGTTGAACATGACCTTCTTGGGCACGCAGCCGACGTTGACGCAGGTGCCGCCCATGCCGGCGCCGTCGTTGGCGTGGCCGCGCTCGATGACGAGGACCTTGGCGCCGTACGCGGCAGCACGGCGCGCAGACGAGTTGCCGCCCGAGCCGCCGCCAATGACAATGTAGTCGTAGGTTGTGGTCGTCGCCATGGTGCAAATTCAAATTTGGAAGTTGCGGTCGTCCGTGGGCGTGCCACCCTGCAGCCAATCAAAGGACGCGGTTGGATTTTCGATCCACCAATCACAGCGACGATCGCGATCTTTCTGCACCCGAAATCGCGAACCGACTGGTGCAGACCGCGTCATCCAACGACGTCCGTCATCACCACTACGAACGTCCTCGTCCTTACGCGATTTGAATCTTGCGCGACCTCGGGTTGCCAAATATGCTTAGTGCCTATGTCTTAGCTGCGTGGTTGTCGGTTCGAGGCGCGTCCTTGACGGGGTTTCCAGACCATTTCATTGTTGATTTTACTCGACCAGTGCGGTGACAGGGTCCCTTACAGGAAACAGCAAAAAAGGAGCTTCGAAAGTTCTCTAATCAATAATTTTCGTTCAAAGTTATGACAAATTTAAGATTTTTGGGTTATTTGCGCTGAGGTTGCTCGTCGATGTAAAACCTTTGGTTTAACCTTTGGGTTTCGGCTTTAGCTGGACTTTTCAATGGGTCGATGCTTCGGCGAGCGAACTAGCGTCGCTACCAGCTAGAAAGCTAAGAACGACGTCGATCACGGCCAATCAATTGCATCGCGCCTCGCACCTTGCGGTCAGCGACAGCAAGATCGCGCTCATCCGGATAGGCGTTTCCGGATTGGTGTGGGGCAATCTTTGACGTCGCTGGCAGTCGCAAATCGCCTACCGACTTCGCAGCATGGCAACGTACGACTACATTGTTCTCGGCGCTGGCTCTGGCGGGGTCTCGTCGGCCCACCGCGCGGTGGCCTACGGCGCCAAGGTCCTTGTCATCGAGCGTGGCCAAGCCAACGACGGCGCTGGCCTCGGTGGCACCTGCGTCAACGTCGGCTGCGTGCCCAAGAAGATTATGTTCAACGCTGCGCTCCACGCTGAGATGCTTCACTCGGCGCGCGCGTACGCCTTCAAGGGCGTGCAGGACATTCAATTTGGCGCCTTTGACTGGGCGGCCATGAAGGCCAAGCGCGACGCGTACGTCAAGTGGCTCAACGACATGTATGGCGAGGGCATGCTCGAAGACAAGGTCGACCTCGTCATGGGCGCCGCCAAGTTTGTCGACAACCACACGGTCGAAGTCAACGGCGACCGCTACGCGGCCAAGCACATTCTCATTGCCGTCGGCGGTGTCCCGGCCATGCCACCGCTTCCCGGCATCGAACACGCGATCTCGAGCGACGGCTTCTTTGCGCTCGAGACGCAGCCCCGCAAGGTCGCGGTCGTCGGCGCCGGCTACATTGCGGTCGAGCTCGCCGGCATTTTTAACGCGCTCAAGTCGGACACGACGGTCTTTTGCCGCGGCAACCAAGTTCTGCGCACCTTTGACCCGATCGTGCGCGACCTCGTCAACACCGAGATGGAGCAGTACGATCTCCTTCTCGATATTGCAACGTGCTCATGATGATGAATGGATAGTGCCGGCGTCCGCTTTGTGCGGGAGAGCGGCATCACGTCGATTGAGAAGGCGGAGGACGGGACGTTGACGATCCAAGCGACGGTGGCCGGCGTGGCGCAGTCGTTCGCGGGCTTTGAGACGGTCCTCTTTGCGATTGGTCGCACACCGCGGACGCACGACTTGGGTCTGGAGACGACCGACATTGCACTTTCGCCAGATCAGTTTATTCAAGTCGACGCCCAAGAAAACACGACCGTCCCGAATGTGCATGCGGTCGGCGACGTGACGACGACTGGGTGGGAGCTGACGCCGGTGGCGATTGCGGCGGGTCGCCGCCTTGCGGACCGTCTCTTTGGCAACGAGCCCAACGCATGTGTCAACTACCACCAGATCCCGACGGTCGTCTTTAGCCACCCGCCGATTGGTACGATTGGCTTGACCGAGCCGCAGGCCGTTGCGCAGTACGGTGCGCACAACGTGACGACGCACACAAGCTCGTTCTCCAACATGTTTTACGCCATGAGCGCTGAGAAGGACAAGGTGCAAACCGCGATGAAGCTCGTGTGCATCGGCGTCGAAGAGACTGTCGTCGGCGTCCACGTCGCGGGCCTCGGCGCCGACGAGATGATCCAGGGCTTTGGCGTCGCCGTCAAGATGGGCGCGTACAAATCAGATTTTGACAACATTGTGGCGATCCACCCGACGGCGTCGGAGGAGCTCGTGACGATGCCCGAGTGGGGCAAGATCAAGGACGTCGTGACGTTGCCGCATGGCACGGCGCGCAAGCCGCCGACGCTTCTCAAGCCGCCGGCCAGCAACTAGTCATTCGCCTGCTCTGAGATCCACCACGGTTCATATGTTGATCTGGACCTGTGTCTCTGCGTGGATCGCGGACTAAGCTTTGTTTGAGCTCATTCTCAGAATTGGAAATAACACACTGTCCTACAACCTCGCAGTGTCAAGTAAAGAGCAGTCGCGGGCAGGTGGAAGTCGTTGGGCCTACTAGTATACTAGTACTAGTAAATGGATGGCTGTCGTCCATGCCAGGATTGAAGGAGCGCGGTTGACATCAGCGGTCGGATGTTTCGACCCGACGTCATGGACTGAACTCGAATAATATTCATGTAGTCGGCAGGCCAGAGCGTCGACTGCCCAGTATAAAGCCAACGGAAATTCCCATGCAGTGTACTGCCCACTCGACACTTCGTGCGCCCATGTAGTGCCAACTGCTACGTGAACGTGTCTGGAATCACCCAACAAGTAGGCGCGCAGAGTTCTACTTTGACATGCAAAGTCCTCCAATGCGTCAGAAAATGGGGAAGGGACTACGGTATGTGCCTTTACACTAGCATGTCATGGCGTCGCGCAAGTCGGCGAGTACGCGGAATAAGATTTCGAAAGCTCCTTCTATTGCTACAGCAGGTATAAGGCCATATCGGCCATGCACTGGGCTTAACGGCGTCTTCCACGCCAGTGATAATGACAAGGACTGCATGTGCCATTGCATGCGCATGGTCTTGCATCGAACACGCCCACGACGACGCTGACTAAGAACTCGAAGGATCGAATTCATGGATCAGCACCGTGGAAAGGACCCGTGGCCGTGCTTCAGTTAGTCCTGCAAGTTCGTTCTACTAACTGAGTGGAAAGGACGTCCATACGACGAGTGCACTCGACTCGCTTTTTGCAAGCAGCTCCGTTGCTTGGTATGACCAAGATGTATTGAATGCGATTACACGGACGCCAATCGACTAAACTACTCCAGCGCCAGGTCGTCCACGCCCCCATATTGGTTTCCGGGGTTAGGCCTACTCTATCGGGAGAGAGGTTATTGGTCCATCATGCCACCACCACTAACGTCTGTTGATCCGGCATCTCCGCGTCATGGAGAGACATCTGCTGATGGTAGCTCCTTGGATCACTTCTCTCGTAGGATCCGTCGTTTGGTTCTGCGTGGAGCTCATCCTGTGAACCCGAGATCTTAGGACGACCGTAGCTCTTAGGACGGACCGTAGCGGGCACGTGATGCGCCCACGTCAAAAATATCGATGACACCCACCGCTGTGACAAGAAACAGTGGGGAAAAGACGTGTGACGAGAGAGAGACTGCTGTGCACGCACGCAACTAGGCCTTGGCCTTCTTGAGCCGCTGGATGCGCTCTTCGATGCGTGCTTGTTGGGCGGCTTGGACCTCTTGCATGGCTGTGCGCACACGGGGTGCGGTATCGGCACGAGCTTGCGGCGTCGACGGCGGTGGCGTGCTCGGCGCCATGGGCTCGTCGTCCTTGTCGGCTTCGTTGGTCGCGTCGTCTTCGCTGTCGTACTGGGCCATCGACGTCTTTGGCTCGTCGTCCGTCGACGTTTCGTGCTCGTCGTCGCTCTCTTCGTCGCTTGCGTCGATTGGGTCGTGCAAGATGTACTTCTTCTTGAGCCGCGTAAAGAGGACCTCTTCGTGGTGGCGGTACCGGCGCAAAATGGTGTCCACCTCGTCGAGCTTGTCCGGGTTGTGCGTCTTGTAAAACTCAACGAGGCGCTTGCGGTAGAGCTGGCGCTGCGAGAGCGGGAGCGGCGCAAAGTACCCGACCGCGAGCACGAGGCTAAACGTGATGGTCGCGAGAATCTGGAAAAAGATGAGCTGCGCCGGCTTGGTCAGCGGCAGCGCCTCGTACGTCTCGTTCTGCATGTGCAGCTGGAGGCAGAACGTCTGGAGACACACGAGCAGCGCCAGCAGCGTGAGGTAGTTGGCCCGCGTCCGGGCGACTGCCGTCGTGAACGCCACCAACGTGAGGACGAGGCGCACGAAGAGCGCGCTGTGGGGCGAGGCCGCGACGTCGCCGACGTCCATCGAGGCCGCCGAGGCGACAAGAGAGATGCCATAGAGACACGCTTCCGGGCGGAAGTAGGCTGCGCTAAGGAGGCAGAGCGCGCCGAGCTTGGCGAGCATGGTCGAGGCTTGCCGTCGTGATATAAACCGTTGTCGGGGCGTCGCTCGACTTTTGTCCAATCCGAGAGCGTGATTTCAGCTTGGCCAATCCACGACGGCGATGGTGAATCTTTCTTGGATTTTCAGCCAATGGCATCTAATCTCTGGACCAAGGTAGGTGCGGTGCTGATGCTTGCGGACCCGAGGTACTCACATCGGCATGTTGGGCTAAACCCTTGAGGTACTACATGCATGGTATAAGTATACTCGGGCGACCGATTAAAGCATTCGAGTGCACAGGTTGGGGTCCATAGCAACGTAAAGGAGCAGATACTTGCTGGCGTTCATACCAGAAATAAGATGACGCTGAAAACCCAGCAATAATCGGAATTTATTCTTTTTGGCCAATCAACGATCGAAACGTGGTAATGGCCAATCGGAACGCTGGATTGTGGTTTGCCGACTTCACTCCTCGATTGCCGCTTCCGTGAGGTAGACGTAGACGCATGCGCTTCGACGCTGGCGACGACGACGATATGTGCATGTAGAATCTACCAGCCCAGCATGTCACAGCGCAATGGCACGGCCCAGATCCCGTTCTTCATCACCGCGGCCATGAAGGTCGAGCTCAAGCAGCTCGGCTACACGGACGACGACATCTACCGCGTATACATCCCTCCATGCCCATGCATGCCTACATGACGATTGCTCATGGCTGCTTACTAGATGCGCGTCGACGATGCTCACAAGTATGTCAAGAATGGTACGCGCAAGGGCGCGGCGCCGGCCAAGAAGCCGTCGCTCGCCAAGCGGTTCCTCGGCGGCGGCAGCGCTGCGAGCGCGACCGACAACGACGAAGCCGCCGACATTCCGCTCATGGCCATCGTGGCGGCGGTCGGTCTTGCGTGCTTCATGGTCTACTTGCACCTCTTCTAACCACGACCTCGAACATCGTACATATGTTGTCTTATCGTCGTACTTATCACGACTTCTTGAGCGTCGGCGTCGACGCAAAGGCTTCGACCTCGGCGAGCACGTCCGAGAAGGCTGCCACGTCGCGCGGGTAGACACGGATCCAGCCCGAGCCCGAGTCGTGCGACATCTTCTCGACGCGATTCCAGTGCAGGTGGCGCTGGAGCGTGATCGAGATCTCTTGGGCGCCGGCGACGACGCGCCACGAGGCAAACCCGGCCTGCGCGATGCACTCGGCGATCGGCTGTGTGAGGACGTCGCTCGTCGATTGGGCGTCTGGCACTTGGAGCACTAAATGCAGAAAGACGCCCCATTGGCCGCGCAGTGCATGGACGTAGCCGTGCTTGATGCACACGAGCTAGTCGATCGCATACGCGTGTTTAGTCGATACGATTGCAAGATCAGTACTACCTGGAGCAACAAGATGAGGCGTTCGTAGCGCGGGTCTTCTTGCTCGCGCTCCTGAACAGGCCAGCGCAGTTGGAACTCGAGCGTCGCGCCCGAGCCCATGCGGTTCGTGAGCAGCGCCGTCCGTTGCTACTGCGTCTTTGAGAGAAAGGACGGACGAGGAATGTACCTGGGACGACGGGTAGAACGCTTCCATGCCGACTTCGACGGCCGCGGCGGCTTGCAGAGAGAGCGCAAAGAGCGGGTCCGACTGCTTGGTGCCGAGGCCAATGAGCTTTTCGAGTGATGCAATCATGGGCACGAGCGGCTGGTCGACGCCGTCGTCGTCCAGGACACCAAGCCCGACGTCGACCGGGTTGACCTGCGAGAGCACGAGTCGGCGCACGTTGGCAGTTATGACCTAACCACAATAGCAGCATAGTTGCAAGGCAACGTGAACATACCTGCAGGACCGCGAGGCCCATTGTGATAGGATTGAACGGCTGCTCGAGCGCGTTCGACGGCGACGCGGCGAGAGAGCGCTGGAACGTTGCGCTCGCCTCGGTGAGTTGCGCGTGGAGGGCAAGTCGCGTCGCATCCTCGGGCGCAAGCCACGGCGCCAAGATGGTTTGGAGCAGGTCGTGGCACACGTCAAAGAGCTCAGGACACACTTGCATCGAGAATGGGTCTTCAAGGCGACGGAGCTCGTCTTCGCGTCGACCAACAAACACTTCGGGTTTTTGCATGCGCTGCATTTGCCACACACTGAGCTCGCTGAGGACGCTGAGGAGCACCATTGAGAGCTACACAATGTCATACGTTCGGATACCTAGGACGCGTATGTACCTCGGTGCGCGTCCGAATCGACTTGGAGAACGAGTGCTACCGCCACACAGAATCATCTTTGCTGTTGAGCAGAGAGATGGTTGGTACCTGGCACAAGAGCAAGACGAGGACCGGGTATTGCTGCAAGGATGGCTCCGCATCGCTCTATACCACATGACAAAACTATGCACGAATAAGAGCTATGGCGGTACCCGCACCATCTCGTGGTCTTTGGGCCCCACGACCTCGGGTGGTCGCACAGAGGAACTGGACACGAGAGGCGTCGCTGGCTCGGGCGTGCTGGCTTGTTGCGGCGAGTAGACTTCGAGGCCTGGGATGTTCTGAAGGATCTGGATCGTCCGCCGCGTCACTTCGTCTTGGAGGGACATGGACATTTGCGTAATGATGCGCTTCTCGAGTCGCGCGTGGTCGGCCGACGCGTTGGAGCGCAGCATGGTTTTCTGGATCGACTGCGACAGCTGCGACACAAAGCCAATGGTTTCGTCTACATCGAGCTCGGTCTCGGCCGCCACAAGCATGCTCTTGACCACATGCAAGAGGCCGCACAGGGACCCGGACATGAGCGCGACCTGCTGCAGGAGCTGCAGGGCCAAGACGCGAATGGACGGGATCGTCGATGCTGTCGCCGTCGCAATCCACTTCAGGAGGTCCTGGAGGAGCTGGTTGGGCGGTGTATAGAGCACCTCGACCTTGGTATCGTACACGCCAAAGCTCTCGAGGCCAAACGACACGGTAGAGTCTACATTACGCGATTTTGAGTTTGAGATTGAGATGAACTCGACATACCGGTGCTATTGTCCACCACAAGCTTGACGTGCGACGCATTCTCGAGCGCCTGCCACGACATGGTATCGCTGCAATCAGCAATGACAGCATCCTACCGACGCCAACGTCACTCGATGCTCAAGCATCGGCTTGGCCACGCTCGCAATCGCTTCGTACGTCCGCCCCTTGTCCGTCGACGCGTACAGCGTGTACGTAGCGCACACGTAGCGCTGCGCGTGCCACCGCAGCGCAATGGCCGAGACCGATATGGGCGGCTCAAAGACGAGCTCAATGGACGCCGACTGCCCGGGTGCGCATTCGACCTTCCAGTACGTCAGTCCAGGATCGACCACGCTAGAAAATCGGGTGAAAATGGAGTATGAGACCGAGAATCTCTACCACGCGGCGCCGTGCGCGTCATCGCCACGGGCCGTGCACACCGAGCGCTGCGGATGAATCTCTGTTCTCGGAACGTCCGATGGCGGCGCCCAGTCGTGAAAGATCGACATGACGTCCGACTTGGCAAAGACAAGTCCAATCTACGATCGGAATAAGAAACCAAATGGCACAAGACAGGCCCGTGTACCTGCTTGAGCGGCTCGAGCGCAGCGGGCGAGTTGTTGTCGAAGGTCTTGAGAATCGTCGTCAATACACACAAGTAGATCTACGCCAATGCGTCAGCTGCCACGAGCGATGTTCAAACGTGTCGACCTGGTGCAGCTGGTTGGTGTCTTGGGGCGGAGCCAGGATCCGCTTCCGATACGTAGGGCCAGCGCAAAGGATCGTTGGGAGCGGGCACATGTCGATGCGCTCGAGTACAAACTTGAGCTCGCTCTTGGGCAAACGCACGGCCATCTAGTCGACATGAGATTGCATGGCCGAGATAGAGGATCGACCGTATGCAGTGGCATGCCTTGGCGCGGGCAGCCCGCGATATGCGGCATGCTCAGCTGAAAGTTGGAGACCTTGAGTACTCGCTGTGTTGATGTAACGATGGGTGCGGCAGGCGTGCGCGTCGTGAGCACCTCGCGCGAGCTCGGAAACACGACGCTCGCGCAGCCGCGCGCTTCGCACTGCAGCACGGCATGGTCAATCTCCTCGACGCGCGATGGAAAAAAGCTAGCAGCCGCGTACGCTCGATGGCCGTTCCCTGCAGATAGCGACGTACCGGAAGGCTTGGGCGATCTCGTTGCCGCTCGAGTTCCACATGGTGATGCTGGTCTTGCCTTTGCAGCGGCGGCAGCCTTCGCGGAACGGGCGCTGGTTGTGCGTCGCCGCCGAGCATTTTGGGCACTTGGCGTGGAGCTCGCCGCCCTCGTGCACGGGCTCAGTATACAGAAGGCCATGGACGTCGCAGCCGGGAAACTCGAGGTACAAGCACTCCTTGCACACAATGGCGGCAAAGGTCCGGAGCTCGGGGCGGTCGATGGGCGCCGGGGCAGTGGCGGCGGTCATGGCGGGGCGGAGGAGCGGGTCGGGCGCGAAGGTTCTCCAGGCGCTGAAGAGAGACCGGGACGAGAGCGTGATGGTCGGGATTGTGGGGCCGGCTTCTCCCGATCTTATAACCGTAACGGCGCCGACCCAGTTTTTCGGTTCACGGGTAAAACGCAACATGTTAACGTTTAAACGCCAAGGTAATTTTGACGTGGCTGCCCGTCCAGCAACGACACCAACGGCTCAAGCTCACGTATTCGACTCGTATTGCACTCCGTGCTACCTGTATACTAGGAGTTGCTGACCTCGTGCAGAAACCATGGGTGCTGGCGAAGGCGTGGTGATATGCATCTGCCCCTTCTTCTGGGAACCTGGTCTGGCTACCGAAGAGTCGCCTGGTCCGGCCACTGCGAGTAGCTCTATGTATAATACTACGTAGCGATGCGACGACCGCTGACGACCGCCGCTTGGCGCGCAAGCTGCTTCCTCGGAAGATGAAAAGATGAGTCCGCTCTCGGTAGCGACCTTTGGGCGAAATAAAACGTCGTTTAACGTAAAACACGTTTAAGCCTGCGTCGTACGGATACACTTGTGGATATCCGGATCCATTCCGTTCGAAAGCGCGATGATCGCGGTGGACCCGCGCCGGCGGGCAATGAGCGCGAGCTTCCCGAGCATGGGCGTGACCCGACGGGAGGTCCATGGGATGGCGGAAGCCTTCATCGCCATGTACAGCAGCCCGATGCAAGCCATGGGCTCCAAGCATGGTCCGCTGGCCGAGCTGCGGGCAGGTCTCATGTCGGCAACGTTCGTGCAGCACCTCAAGGCGCTGCCGCCATCGACCTTCCAGTCGCTTGTGGACATTGTCGCGCGCATGGCCATCAACATGGAGGCGAGTCGGCTGGAAGACGACATGCTGGTGATTCTCTGCGAGGTCACCAAAGGCGCGCTGGTCGGGTACCCGACGCCACCGCTCGCCAAGCTCCTGCAAACGCTCATCCATACGCTCATCCGCGATATCCTCCATGACGCTGATATCGAGTCGGAAGAGCAAGAAGACTCGAGCTTCTTGTTGCATCTGCAGACGCTTGCGGGCTGTCTGCACGGCAACGTCGGCGTCCGGCTCTTCGTCGCCGAGCTCCCGGAGCGGAAGGAACTGGTGCGGACGCTGGCCGTCATGCTCAACCGCACGGACGACGCGAGCGTCCTCATCTACAGCATGTCGATTCTCGCGCGTCTCGTGCTGAGCGAACCTGTGGGGCAAAAGCTCTTCCAGACCAAGAACATTGAGAAGGCGCTAGCGCTCATTAGCCCGATCGTCTCGGACAAGGACAATACCGTGCTGCTGCTGAGCTTGGACAACTCGTCGACCAAAGAAAGGTACCCTCCTTATTCGATCGACATGCTCCGACCGGCTGTAGTGTCTCGCTGCAAATGGCGTGCGTGGACCTTCTTGCGGACCTGGCGACGCAGCCGTGGATCCTTCCGGCCTTGGAGGCCTCGGAAGAGCTCCACGAGCTCACGCAGAGCTTGGTGACCGATCGGTTTCACATGCAAGAGAGCAGCGTCCTGCACCTACAAGTGACCTTGCACTATCTCTCGACGCTCGTGGGTTTGAGCCACCGCTTCCGGCGCGACCTTGTTCAGCGGTTTCCCAACCTCTCGCAGACGCTGCCGGTCGTGCTGCACCCGATGCAGTCGATAGCGATCGCGGCCGCGCAGTTCTTTGTCGCGTTTCTCGGTGAGGACAAGGCCGTCGTCGACGCGCTCGTCGATACGGTCCCCGAGGTACGCGCTTCGATCCTGCCGACGTCGAGCAACATCCTCCAACCACTAGCACGAACCGTCGACGCTGCAATCAACGCTGGTCGAGCTCTTTCGCTTTGTGCACATGACGATCGCGACGCTTGTGCGTGACGCGGGCGACGTGGATACGGACCTCTTTTTAGATCGCATCACATCCCCCGACTACGACCACGCTGTGCACGTGTGCCAAGTCCTTACGCGCCTCTCCCAGGACAAGCGGGTGTGGTCGATGAGCGTCGCTCTTGTCAACATGACGCAGGTACGACGCGGTCGAGTCTCCATTCACCTATATGTATATTGGGTGGTCGTAGCTGACGTCGCTGGCGCAGCGTGAGGCGCACTACATGCAATCGCTCTCGTCCGAGCGCTTCCTCGAGTTTACCCCGCGCTTCTCGCTTGCGTTTCTTGTACGTCCCTGTACGGATGGTCGCGTTTTGACGACGATGTAGACGCTGATTGGGACGCTCCTCTTGCACGACGACTTGCCGGACGAGAGTCATGCGACGCTGCGCGAGTTCAACCACGTGCTTCAGATCCCTGATGTCGCCGCCATGATCAGTCGCGGTCTCTGCCAAAGCGACAGCAAGCACTGGACACACGACGTGCTGCACTTTCTCCGAAAGTTTCTCTCGCAGTCCAAGACCAAGGCCTTCCACGAGCGCATTAGCCTCATGACGCTGGCCGACGGCCTCTACACGTACAGCCACGTACGTACTTGTGTAGTCGGTAGCGTATATGGGTGTCGTACTAGCGCATGCACGATGTTGTCGCGACCGCTCGCGCCGCGGTCGCGACCTCGGACGCAGCCATGCTGGGCGTGACCAAGCAGCTCGACTTGGCCAAAGCCGAGCACGAGTTAGCCAAGCGCGCATGGGCCGACCAGCTAGCGCAAGAAGACGAGCGCCAGCAGCGTCGACAGGCCGAAGTGGACGCGCAGCTCGCCGCCAAGGACGCGGCGTACAGCGCGCTTGAGAAAAAGTACGACGCGCACGTTGCGCATCTGCAAAAGCGGCTCGACGGAGCGGCGCACGAGCTCGATACCAAGGTACTTGCGTCCTGTAAAATGACACGCATGAATATGTGCGCGGTAGAACCAAGCGCTGGAGAAGAAGCAGCGCGCCCTGCACGACAATCGACTTCAGCGCTGTAGCCTCGAGGAAGTGCGTCGTCTCGTGTGCAAACTGCCGCTGACGGTTGACGCAACTCGTTTTGGTAGGAAAACAACGGGCTCAAGCGCAAGCTCCACGTCTTGGAGATGCGCATTGACGAAGTCGCCGAGGCCCACGCCCACACGCGTCATGCGATGCTGGAAACGTGAGTCGGGCGTCGTTGCTCGACGTATCCTACTGGTGACGTAGAGAGAAAGCGCGGCGGCATGCCCAGATCGAATTTGAAAACATCTCGGAAGCGTATGCGGCGCAAAGCGTCGAGCATTTGTCGCTTCGCGAAGAGCTCACGGTATGCAGCGCTGCTGCGAAACGATGGACGACCATTCTTGCTAGGCCATGCAGGAGGCCCGGCGCGAGCGCGACGCCAAGTTTACCGAAACGTACAAGCAACTCGTGCTCCTCGCCAAAGCCCACACGATGCAGAGCGAAGAGTTTAGCATGACGATGACTGTAATCATGCCACGGCTCGACGAGGTCCATGAACAATGAACGACGTAGGAACGCGACCACCTCGAGTCGGAGCTCGGCGCTGTCCAAGAGTCGTTTGCGTCTTTGGAGAGCCGCTTCGAGTAGGACGACATGCGCGCGCGTTGCGGTGATGAGCCGGTTTGTAGGAGCCAACAGTTGCAACTGGAGACGTATGTCAAGGAGAAGGCTGCGCTCGATGGCACGCTTGCGCGCTACCAGCAGCATCTCCAGGACGAGCAAGCGGCGGTGCATGCGCTTCGCCGCGAGCGGGACGATGCCCAGCGCCAGCTCCAAGGATTGCATGTACGTTTGCTTTACATGACGGACTAGGGTCGACGTGGAATAGGCCAAATTCGTGGCCAAGGAACGCGAGGTGGCCGACGCGAGTCTCCAGCTGCAGGCCAAAGACGACATGATTCGCGATCGCAACGACGACGTCAAGCGACTGGTGCGTCGTCTCTTCAAGCCCTCCTCGATAAATTGACGTATTGTCGCCAGAAACACGAGCTGCAGCAGCACGCCGAGCTCCAAGCCATGATCCACAAGCTGAGCTCGCACAACGGCGAGAGCTCGATGAACACGACGCTCTCGCAGCGGCCCGCGCCGCCCCCCACCGCCTACGTCCCCGACTCGCAGTACAGCCAGTAGACTACGATTCCCTATTTAAGTCCTTCCACTGGACTCTTCTTGCGGTGGTCGACACCTTGGCAACTTGCAGCTTCCCAGTGGATCGCAAGGATCTCAGGAACGTTCCGCAACTTCAACGTGGTAACCTTCACTCGCCTTGTAGTTAGTGCGACTTGACTAAACCCGGCCGGGCGTTCTAGTCGATGGGCATCGACTCGAGTTAGTCGATGTCACGAGCGACGGGTGGTTGCGTCCTCTCCCAGCGCTCTCTCCGCAGCGTTGCAGGTGGCGCGTTGTACTGGCCAATCGGCTGGCGGCCACTCATTTTTCCGAGCTCATTTCCAAATTTCCCAAAAATGAGCAACTTGATCGCCAAGCAAGTCGAGTTCTACTTCTCGGACAGCAACTTCCGCCGGGACAAGTTCCTCCAGGCCGAGACCGCCAAGCACGCGGAGCGCTTCATCCCGTTCAGCGTCCTCTTCACCTTCAAGAAGCTCCAGGCGCTCACGACGGACGCGGCCGAGCTCGCGACGGCCATTGAGGCCTCGACGGTCGTCGAGCTCAACGCTGAGCGCAACGCGCTGCGCCGCGTCGTCGCCGAGCTCCCGGTGGACACGTCGGCCGAGCGCACGGTGGTCTTTGTCGGCCTCGGCACGCTCCCGCCGACGCACGAAGAGATCGCTGCGGCCTTCCCGGCCGACGTGGTCACGTTCTCGCGCGTCTGCAAGATGGCCGGTCGCTTCTTTGGCTGTGTCCACGTCGAGTTCAAGGACGACGAGACGACGAACGCTATCCTCTCGGGCCCGGCCATCGTCATCAAGGGCCTCACGACGCAGAAGATGCGCCTCTCCGAGTTCCTCAAGCTGCCCATGGACGACCGCCGTGACTTTGAAAAGGGCATCGTGGCCATGATCCAGTCGACCAACGTCCCGGACGGCGTCTCGTTCCACGACCTCATGGCCGCGATCGAGGGCCTCTGGGCCGACGACCGCCACAAGAAGCCGCTCGTGACCCTCCTCGAAGCCAAGAACGAGCTCCAGCTCCTCTACTCGCAGCCGGCGCTCGCGACGGAGGCCGTCGAGTACCTTGCCGCGCACCCCGTTGTCGTCAAGGACGTGACGCTCGAGTTCAAGCACGTGACCGACGCCGAGGCGGTGGCCGGTCGCGCCCGCAAGGAGTCCAAGAAGCGCAACCGCGACGAGGTCGACGGCCCGCGCCAGTATGTGTGCATCTCCAACATTGGCAAGGGCGTCAAGTTTGGCGACATCAAGGACATGCTCGTCGCCGCCGTCGGCGAGGGCAACCGCCCGCCGTACGTCGAGTACGCCAACGGCTCGACGATCGCCAAGATCAACTTCACCGACATGACGTCGAGCAACCGCATCCTCGCGCAGCTCCAGGCGCTCGAAAACCCCGTGCTGGGTGGCAAGACACCCGTGTTTGCGCTCGTCAACGTTGGCGAGGAGCCGCCGGTCGAGGTCGACTACGAGAAGGGCCTCATCGTCAAGCTCACGGGCGTGCCCCCGACCGTCTCGCGCGATATCATCAAGGCCACGCTCAACGACCAGATGGACGCGGCCGGCGTCGTCGCTTACATTCAGTTCCAGCTCGGCCAGACCGAAGCGCTTCTTCGCGTCGACACGCCGGTCGCGGCCGCCAAGGTCGTCTCGCTCGTCTCGCATGGTGTTGTCGTTGGCGAGAACGAAGAGAAGCTCGGCGGCGCCGTCATTTTGGAAGGCGATGAGGAGCACGCGTTCTGGCTGGAGGCCGAAACCGCGCGCCGCGCCCGCCTTTCCCAGTCGGACAGCAACAAGTTCCAGCGCTCCGACGGTGGTCGCGGTGGCCGTGGTGGTCGCGGCGGTGGCCGTGGTCGCGGTCGCGGTAGCCGTCGCTAAATGCCCGACACGATAGTTTTGATAACGCCATTATAACACCTCCTTATGTAATCCAACTTTGTCTTAGCGCAGCGAGAGTTGTGGCCGAGCGACGTACATGTCGGAGGGATGACCGGCGCGTAGCCGGTCGGCCACGAGCGACCGGCCGAACGGACGTGTGGAGGATGGAAGCTGTCGCGGATGATAATGGCACGGCGACCAGCGTGCCCACCAGGACGCGACGCTCGTTGCAGGCAAGCTCACTCTGCTGGTGGCGGTCCGGCGCATCGAGGAGGACCGCTTCATTGGACTTGGGATTTTGTAAACTGAGATCGCTCGAGCTTTGCTCGGCGAGTAGCTCGTCACCAAGGCTGTCGACCAATCGGCATCGCGTTTGGCCTCTTGTCATTTCCGTGGCGGGACGATGCGAACAGAGAGGAGAACAGGGTGTAGTACCTACTTGCTACTCCGCGTTCGAGGCCACGAACGGAGACGGCCCTTGGTTCCTTCTTCACGCAGCTGAGCCCATACGTCCGATCGAGAAAGCTAGATGGAGAGCCCAAGGAGCATTCATCATGGACAAGGCATGACCAAACTGAAGAATGAAGTACGGTGGCGGAGACCATCCCTGATCATAGACTGTCTGGGTACGTCAAGAGACAGCGAGTGCCGGCGTGGATACGTCCATGGGATCGCTCACCGCGATCTTCTCGTTGTCGGCCCTCGACGAACGACGGCCGAACGTCATGTGTGGCACTGGCTTCTTGTCGGTCGTGCTGCCACGTCAGTAATATCCGTTCTTAGAGGTCCTGTATAGCTCGATACGAAGGCCGGTGCCACATTTAAGGTGCCACAAATAGCGAAGATTTTGCCGACCAGCATGAAGTCGAGCGAGCTTGAGGCGATGAGCGTCGAGGAGCGCGTCTCGTGCTTCTACTGCGCGTTTGGCGTCGACTTTATTGGCGTCAATGTGGCGCTGTCCGAGGCCTTGATCGCGCCCGAGGCCGTGCCCACGTACCTGCAATACCTCGAGGGCCCGAACCGCGACGCGTGGCTCCTCGCCGAGTCCGTCCTCATCCCGTTCGCCCAAGGCAAGGGCATGAAGGACGAGCAGCAGCGTCTTCTTGTCAACTTTGAGGTCGCGCGCCGCAACTGCGATGTCCTCAGCGCGGCGGGCGCGGTGCCGATCTTTGCGCAGCATTTGGCCCGGGCGATGCTGAACCTCAAGGGCCTCAACTTTCCGTACATGGACATTGACCAGGTCGAGCGCCTCTTTGGCCAGCTGAACCGTGCGCTCACGATGCTGTACCTCACGATCGTGCTCAGCCCCGAGTCGGTCTGCTCGGCGCGGTCGCTCTTTGAGCTGGGCGTGTGCCAGCCCAAGCAGGTGGATGCGATCGCCGTCCACTTGGCCCTCTCATGCGAAGTAATCATATAGGTGCTCTTCGACATCTTTGAGTGTCTGCAAGCGCACCAATCCGTCGCAGGCTATCCCGTGAAGCGCACCATGCTGCTGCTCTATGCGTGGTTCACACGCATGCTCGGGGACCTCCCACGCCTGACGCAGCTCAAGAACGACCGACGGGCCTTCCATGCGCTTCGTACGCCCCGTATCCCATGGCGGTCGTCTCATACTGCCTACAACACCGATAGCGCTCGAGGTCCCGACCAAGCTCCAGTGCAAGAGCATCAAGCGACCGGTAATGGTGCCCATTACCGAACCGGTCTCGGACCCACTGTACGTCGCCAAGGTCAAGGCGCAGAACCACCGCGATAGCATCTACACGTCGTACATCCACAAGCCGCATTACGACATGGCGCCGGCGATCTCAGCAACGGACGACCCGACGTTCGACCAAGAGTGGGGCGACCGCGTCGAGCTACTGTATCGCATGCTGCTGATGCCAAGAGCCAAGGAGATCATGGGCGTCTTTGCGTCGGTTCTGGCCGCCGGCACGAACCCGGACAAGCGCCACGTGTTTGGGAAGCGCGGGTCCGCGGGCACCGACCCGTCCTCGTACGAGAATGCGCAGACAAACGTGTCGCCGGAAGAGCAAGCGTACCTCACCTACATGCTGCGCGAGAAGGCCATCCTCATGGACGCCACGTCGCTCACGCTGCTCACGCTGCTCAAGCACGTTCGAAGCAGCCATCTGCTCAAGGCCGAGTACCTCGCCTCGCAGCTCGTCGACGCCGGCGTGCTCCCGACCATGACGGTATGTGTCTCGTGTTGACTCGAGTATCAAGTTGATAGTAGAAATTCCTCAACCGCGACTTTGCAACGTACGTGCAAGTGCGTGTCATTGAGGACGGCTCGCAGCGCGTCGAGAAGTTGCCGAGTCGCAACAAGAAGCTCACGGTCGTCGTGGCGTTGGACGAAGCGACGGTCGCCGAGTACGCTCGGCAGCAACTGCGCTGCGTCGCGTCAGTCCTCCGGCTCGTGCAGCGCCTCACCAAGCGCAAGCCGAGCTTGATCAAGTCGACCTTGTGCCGGTCGCAGTCGCTCGTGTGGCTCAAGCGCGTCTTGAACCTCAAGGAGCCCATGACGCGCCTCTATGCGCTCAAGCTCGTCAAGTCCCAAGCGCGGTACCTTGGCCATCAGGTTGGTCGCGTCGACGATCTCGGCTTCTTCTTACGCTTGTGCTAGTGGGTCCGCAAGTTTACCTGCGTGCACTTGCTCACAGAAGTCTACTTGTACGTGCGACCCGAGCTCGAGGACGACTGGCTGCGCAGCGAAGAGGACGACACGAACGTCACGTCGGCGCCCAAGCCGGTCGAGACGCTCCTTGCCGGCGAAGTCCAAGCCTACCACCACAAGTACTACTGGGATCGTCTCAAGCCGTCGCCGGCGGCCTCCAACGTGAGCATCGTCGTGCAAAGCATGCAGGATCTCGAAGCGGATGGGCTCGACGTCGAGGGCGGCAGCTGCCGGAAGCTCTTTGCCGAGCTCAAGCTCGACACGGGCACGTGCCAGCAGTATGAAAAGTGGCTCGACATTCAAGGGCTCATGGCCGACGCCGACGCGCCACTGCCGATTGCATTTGGTTAAACGAATACGACGACGACTACGATGGAGTATGTTGCACTAAGCAGTGGCCATGTGGTAGAGCAGCATCATGGTCGAGTACTTGGCCCGGCGCAGCGTGTCAAACTGGTAGTGGCGCTCTTCGCAGTTCTTCAACAGCGTCGACCGATGGTCGAGGAACGGGCACGGAATCTCGACATCGTCGAGAACGTCGTTTGCGACAAAGTGGGGCACCGACTGCCGTTGCAGCGGCACGTTCGAGTCGACGCTCACGGCCGCGCACACGTCGCAGACCGCGCATGTCGGCGACTGCCAGTAGGCCATGTTGACGAGCACTTGACCGCAGTGGCCACACGTGGGCTGGAGCGGAATCACAAACAGCGAGTCCTTGGTCACCTCGATCGCGCGATAGACATCGGCCTTGATGGCGTCGCGCGCCTTGGCTTTTGGCACCGCCTCGGTCGCGTCGGACGGCTTCTTCTTGGCCCGCGGTTTGAGCGGCGTAAGGACTGCGCGGTCGAGCTCGGCGGGCCAGTAGTCGCCGTCAAAGTACGGCGGCAGCGGCGCGTTTGAGATGCCCGAGTGAAGCGCGGCAAAGTGCGAGCTCCAGAGCGTGTCATGGCCAAACGCAACGTGGCGCGCCTTTGCAGCCGCAATCACCGCCTTGTACCACAACAAGAGGCGCTCCTTGCTCGGGTTGCGCTGGTGCGACGGGTGGCACCAGTAGATAAAATCGCCGCCGCGCGTCGTCGGGCACGCCCAGATGTGGGCGTGGGTGAAGCCGCGGGCCTTTGCAAACGCGAGGTACGCGATCACGAGCTGCTGGTACACGGACGTGCGCGCGTGGCGCGGACGAAAGTACCCGAGCGAGTCGAGGTACGCAATGTACGTTCGGTGGTTGTTGCTCGGGATGCCACAATCGGGCCCGTACTCTTGCACGTACATGGAGAAGAGGCAGACGTCCGTACCGTCAATCTCCTGGAACACAAGGATCGTCTTGGACGTATACGTCACCTCGGATGGGTAGGCAAACCCGTTGAGCCGGAAATGGTCTTGTGCGGTGGCTGTCACTGGCGCGGTCACGCGAACCGACGACGCGAGCTTGACAAAGAGCGAGTTGGCGACGGCCGGCGACTCGCCGAGGAAGAGAAAGTGGTCGCGGATCCACGTTTGCATGAACGTGCCGAGGTGCGTCGTCGACGCATGCACGTCCGGGAGCGCGTCCTTGAAGAGCGGCTTGATGCACTTGGCCTTCTTTACGATCGGCGAGTGGGTGCTCATGTCGTCGCGCTTGGTCGCCATCGCGCTCACGTCGATACTATGCGCCATGAGCTGCTTGTCGGGTGAGTCCAAGACAGGAGTCGAGTGGTCGACGTCGTGGCTTGGCGACGCGGGGTCGCTGTACTTGCGACTCTTTGGTTCGAGCGACCGCAAGCGGCAGAGCGCGCACGTAAACGGCACGTCGTCGTCGGCCGCGATCTCGCTGTTGAAGAGCGCGCAGATCTGGTGCACCCAGCCCATGCACCCGTCGCATTGCACCCACGGCTCGGTGAGTTCTTCTTGGAACTTGGCCTTGAGCAATTCGGCTTTGGTCACGACGCGGTCGCCGTAAGTAAACTCGGCTTGCTTGGGCACGCATTTCGCGCACCAGTTGAGCTGCCCGTCGGGCGTCATAAAGTAGGTGGCGTGGCGGCGGAGGCGCTGGCCGCACTTGCCGAGACAGAGCACGAGCGGCGGCTCAAAGTTGATGCACTTTTCTTCGCAGAGACCGCAGACGTGGCCCTGGCAGTGCGGGCAGCTGTGCTCGGCGCGCTTGATGGCGTGGTCGCGCTCGCGCCGGAGGTACGCGGCAAACTCGCGTTCAAATTCTTTGGCGAGCAGCTTGGCCGACTCGTGTACAATGTGGCCCGGCGGGTTGAAGTGCGTCGCGTTGGCAAACACGAGGCGAATGTCGTCGGCCACGAGGTCGGCGGATGCATACAGTAGCGCGCTCAGGTTTTGCTTGACCGTGCCAAGGTCCATCGGGCGCGCAATGACCTCGTAGTACGTCGGACAGGCGAGGCGGACCGGGTCGACCGGTGCGTTAAATATGTTTTGGTTGATACGGTGGAGCATGAGGCGGCTCACGAGCGCGAGGAGCGGCGTCGCAATCTTCTCACGGCGCAGATCCTGTAGCTGCTGGTGGAGCTGCGCGGCCGACGCCACATCAAGCGGCGACAATACAGTCGGTGTGCGGTACGGGCGCTTGCCCATGTCCCAGTGGTGGCACTCAACTTCGGACGGGCTATCGCCGTAGCTCGGGCGCGGCCGCTTCAAATGGCGTGTTTCGATCCCAATGTTCATGCTGGTTGATGTCGTCGTCGTCGTCGTTGGTTCTACACAGAGAAGGTGCATATCGTCCGTCGACCACGCATGCAAATCGGACCTCGAGGCTGGCAAGAAGAGGAGGATGGACAAGGAGAACGTCGACTACAAGATGGCAAAGTCGCATGAAATCGCATTACATTAGACGTCTACTTGACGGAGACGCTCCATCTTCCTACAGGACGCTCCGGTCAACATGCACATACCGTGTGGCGCGAAAATTCAAATCCAACTGCGTCCGGCGCTGCAAAATCGCAAATGACCTGCAACCGGTTCGAAAAGCCGACCCGTTTCATTGGCGGTTTGTATGCCAAAATTCGAAGCGCGATCTTGCCCAATCATCGGCGAGGCCCGCCAGTTCTTTCTCGAATTTGGGCCGGGGTAGGGCAAGTCCATACAAAACCCAAGTGAAAGCGAGAGGGACGGGCAGCATGTCGTTTCCTCTCGCTTTGAATATCTTGTTGAAACCGATAATGGATCTTTGCTGTCGGGGCCTAAATGACCTGTCAAAACGCATACGTTGGCAGAGACGATACTGGCGCAAAGGGGGGGTTTCGCGGCTGGTGGAAATCCGGCAACTTCGACTTCGGGTTCTTTCACTTGATGTTTGTATGCTGACAGAATGGTGGTCCCATCGAGCGGACCAGATGCCACGTGTGACCAACGGCGGCGGGTTCCCAAATACACTTGGTGTTTGTATACGAGTGAGAAAAGGCTACCACGTGGCGTTCACTTTTTTGTGGCGTCGGCGACGTTGAAGCGGTCATTTTCGCTACCTGCCATGCGCCAGGACGCTGCCACGTATAGT